CTCTTTCTTCATGGCATATTCATGTTCTTAGGTAAAGGTGTCCTGAAGCAGAAGAGATGAGAAGGAAGATGCCTAGGGAAGTGGTTGAGTTGCCATCCCTGAAGGTAGTTAAAAGGTATGTGGATGTGGTCCTTAGGGACATGCTTTAGTGGTGGACCTGGCAGTGTTGGCATAACGGTTGGACTCTCTTAAAGGTCCTTTTCAACCTAAATAATTCTATGACTCTATGAAGTAGCAGGTTAGCTGTAAGTGAGGATGCTGGCTACACCTTTTATTTCCCATTTACATGCATGAGGCAGCTTTCAGAGCTCCCTACATTTACATCAAAAGTGTGGAGACTCTGTTATTTGCCTTTCAGTTTCTGGACCTTGAACAATGAATTGGGTCATGTTTGCGAAGTTATGCCTCACACCATAAAAGCTAAAGTAGTTTTTGGTTGGTTGGTTTTTACAGTGAATGCTAATTCTCAAACAATTGATCATTTCCAGAAACTGGAACTTCAGTAAAAAGGCCAGTTATGAGGGTTGATACCACTGAAATCTTCCTGTTCCATTTTTGCAAGTCAAATGATTTCACGGTTATGTGCAAGTAGTACGGAGTGGAGTGTGCCAGTGCTCTGAGCATCCTCTCATTTTAATGAGCAGTAACTCGCACAAGTAATTCCTTTGATTTTTTTAATGTGATTAAGTGCATGGTCATTTGCTGGCTGCTATAAGAAAGTCATAATCTGGACCACAAGGTTTATAACAATTCTTCTAAATGAGTTTAGCACAGAAGCAAGAAGGAAGCTGCTTGGACCAGAAGGCAGGACTCTGTGCAGGACTTACGTGGGAAAGCTGTTGGCAAGCCCAGAGCAATTTGGAGAGACAAAGCCTGGGGAGGTGATTTTGGGAGCGAGTTATTTGTGGGTCTGCGTCTGTTGTGCCAGAAGCAGGAGTGGGATGTGTTTGTTCAGCCTGACTCCAGACATGCTGCCTTAATGGGTGGGAAGCTCACTTCCCGGTTTCCATATACCCACCCTGTTTCTAATCGGATCCCCCACCCTGTGACACACTGACATGGTAACGGATTTCTTTCTGCTCATTACACTGGTCATAAAATTGGAGGCTCCCCCCGTGGTGGGATTCACATATTAACACCTGTAAGCAGATGAAGTGAGTATGAGCCAAAATGCATTGCCCACTTGTGTTTTCTTGCCTGCCAAAGCCAGCTACAGCCCTAACTGTCCATCCTTTGGGAGTTGCCATCTAGACTTCCCTTCTTTCCCTTCATGCTGGGATGGTTTTACTCTAGGTGATGGGATGACTTTCTCATTCAGCATATCTTGTTCCTAAGTTAAATGTCATGTATCAAAGATGTGAGCAACAACTTGTAGAGACTGCCTGTGTCTGAGCAGAGAAACCTGGGGCATCAAGTGAAGAATGTTTTTCATCAGTCATATGGATATTTGCAATAATAACAGTAATAATTTCCTTTAGTGGAAAAACATTTATCATAGACTAAGGAGTTTTTAACTTTCAGATGCTCTGCAGACATCTAATTAAGTGAACTGTAAATCTGTTTATTAGTCTTTGGCTGTTAATCATCCATATGGGGAAAGTGCTTTGACTACCAGGAGGAGTTTCTGTGGTTCAGCTCTTAGCTCCCTCCACTTCTTGCTGCTCCATTTATCTCCATGGGTAGTGTCTCCACTTACTAAAGCCAGACTGAGTGGGGCTTTAGACATTGGCTCAGGATACCCCATCATCTCTGGGAAGATTTGGGATGTTTCATTCAGGCCCATTGCTGTTTGCTTTCCCCTGCGTCCATCTGTTCCTTGTCTTCTGCTTTGCATCCTTCTCTGTGGTGGGGAGGATACAGAATCCTGCTTTTCTAGGGTTTAAGATCTAACTTTCACTGGCTTTGAATGGCAGAACTGGGTGCAGGGAAGTGCTGAGGAAGGCGCTTTGCATCTGCTGCTCTTTGTTTGGCTTTAATATCCTGAAGGGTTTCCTGTGCTGCAGAACTGAAGGGCCATCATTACCTTCCAGTCTGTGTTGCAGGTTTTCCGTGCCGTTAGTACTCATCCGTACAGACATTGTCACACTGGGAGTGCTTTTTTAGGCATTAATGAGAACAACCAAGCATAGAGGCAGGGGCGTAATTGTTGAGCATCATTTATGTCCTTGCTCAGATCCTTTTTTAGGTCTGTTGGGTTTCCCATGTCATGTGTGAGATTCAGCCAGTAGTTTCCTCCTGAACCTGCTGCACAGCTGCCCAGCACCAACCTGTCTCTCCTGCTGGGGCAGCACAAACACCAGATCCAACTCACTGATCCAGGGGCTGAGCCACTAGCCAGTGGAAGTGTTATCTGGGGTCAGGGGCTTAGGGAGGGACTGTCACACTCATCCATGGATGCTCAACCTTGTATGGCCTTTTAGAGGAGCAACAACTTCACTCTTTCTCTCAGTTTGGCACAAACATGTGCATGTTGCCCCTTGGTATATTGTTTCATATATCAAAGAAGATGAGAAGTCTTCTGTGCTTCCCAAGGCCTTTGCATTAGGACAGGCTGTGTCCCCATGAATTGTGTTGGTGGCCTCCCAAGCACTTCTGCCTCTCCTCAGCTCCCTGCTATCCAGACCCTCGCAGCAGAGGCAAGAGCCAGGGCAGAAAGTGTAGTCTAGGAAATTTTAGCCAAACTCTTCCAGCTGCAGTTTATTGTATCTGTTTTTCTGATATCCACCCTTTAGATAAATAGCACTAAGTTATACACATTGTGACTCTCTTGATGTGGTTAAAAAGGCTCGTATTAGCCAGGCTAATCTAACTCCAAGAATAACCATGGGAATTTGACTGTATCGGTTCCAGCTTGAATCGGTCACCATGTAGTAAAGTAAGAATTGCCTTCCTGGCTAAAAGTGTAGCAATAGTGAAACTTCAAGTCAATTGGTGGGGATTCCCTCCCCCTCTTTTTTTTTTTTTTTTTTTCCCTTTGAACAAAACTCCTGCCCATGCCTGACCTCAGACACCCGGAGCTCTACCTACAAGAAAACAAAATTTCCCATTTTCAATAAAAACCATGTCTCTGTAGGCAGAAAAGTGAGTTAGCTAACAATCCGCACAGCTATGTTCTATTTATTTACCATGCTGACTCCCTGATGGGGAAACATGTGGGATCTTTTAACTTTTTCTCCTGCACAGATGTTCCTTCTACTCACAAGTTTCCTCTTGATCTTTGGTTTGCTGTACCATATGGTGAAAATGCTGGAGATGTTGTGTGCGATGGAAGAGGAGAAGGATTCTGTGTGCTTAAAACAGAAACAGTTAAAAAAAAATCTGACTGCTTTTTTTCCCGTGTTAGCAAAAAAATATTTTTTAAAGGAAATCTGTTGAGCTAGCAAAACCACTGTTAACTCACATACCCTCACTGTTGGGCATATAGCATTGATGAGACTAAATGCTAATTGACCAGCTCCCCCTGCCCCTGCAGCTTTTGCTGCCACTTTAGGTATTTGTATTGAGCTGTAGATTCAGTTCAGGTGAGGAGATAGGGGTCCTGCAAGGTCAAGTAACAGGACCACTTGCTTTCCTTCCTTACCTTCCTCAGAGGCAACAGGGCCTGTGGACTGTGGGTTGAATAACATCTCTCCTGGTCTGTTGGAAACAAGTCATTGGGCTGAAAGTAGCTTCAGTGTTCCCCCAGCCCAAGGGAGCTGGGGCTTCTATGTAGGATCTACAGGGACATAGAGCATTGCACTGTACGTCTGAAATGTGGAAGAAAATGAAATAGAATATGAAGATTTGGGTATTCATCTTTGTAGCACCGCAGGCTGAATGACAGTGAAAGGGTGCAGAGAGTGAATGGGAGAGGTGAGAGGCTTTGGCAGTATGAAGGCTGGGGATGGTCTTGGCCAGGTCTGTGAAGGTACCACTGGAGCAGGTACTTCTGTTCTTTCTGGCTGAGTTTGTGCATGACCTTTCAGCTCACGTTCAGCCTCAGTGGCACTGGTCCATCCAGGCTCATCACCCAAAGAGAAATTAAAAGAATCGTTTAGGAACATCAGATCAGCATATTTCTTTCCTAGGCTTGCTTCCATAGAAGGTCACTGGTGGTCAGCAGTCTCCTCCACCATGCAAGCTAGCCATAGCCATCAGTACTCCTTTGAGTTCCTTGGCTGGTTGTGACTTTTCAGTACAACATAATCCTGAGCCTGGTTGGCCCATAGGGGTGTGTTAGAAACAGGTGATTGTGGTGGACAGGGTTTAGGAGCTGGTGGGACAAGATCTTAGTTGATGTGGGTGAAACTGGCTCAGGTGGTCCATAACCATGTGCTGAAGGGTGCTTGTCATGGGCTGAGAGCACACCCACCTTGAGCTCTGCTTTCTGGCGATTTGTGGTGGTGGTGTTCTCTGGGATGCTCTGCTCTCCCAGTCCCCCTCCCTGCTGCCCTTTCTCTGCTGTCATCTCCATGTAGGGACTGCAGTGGAAGATGTTCCCCAAAACCCCATCTCTTTCTCCCTGGGAAAGCAGGAGTGCTCTTACTGGACCACAGTAGTGAGCAGTGCCTTGCCAGCAAGAAGGAAGAGTGGGTGTTTTGTTGGATACACTTTAATCCACTTGCTTGAACAGCATTTTTAGCCAGGCGGGTGGTCTGTCACACGGACAGGTAAAAACTCTCTCCACCAATGCAGGCAGGCAGTGGATTAGAGACAAGGCATGAGTTTGTAACGAAGAACGAGAGCCTAATTTTAGAACAGCAGTACAGCCAGGCTCAGATGTCTGCCTGGGCTCTGTCCCAGCTCCTCTGTGCTGCCAGAAACTTGCCCTCCCTTTCTTGGAGTGAACTGTATCATACCTTTTTATGTACAGACTCCTCTGCAACAAGGCAGAGTAATTCCTGCAGTTGCTTTGCTTTGCTAATCCTCTTTTAAACCACACACAGACCAAGAGATCCCCTGGTTCCTATGTGGCCAGCCCATGATTTCCCCCTAAGATGTTTATTCTGTTTCTTTTGCAGATGCAGCTTCTGGACAAGTTCCCTATTGAAGGAGGCCAGAAAGACCCCAAGCAAAGAATCATCCCTTTTCTGCCAGGTAATGCTGTGGGGAAAGTCCTAAATATAAAATGGGTGAGAGCAATTGTGGACTGCAGTTTCCACTCTTACAAATGCTTTTTCCTTGGGAGCTCGTACGTGCAGCCTTGTGATACCAGACCTCCACTTCCTCTTAAAATAACTAGCATGGCGTTTAGAGCTCCCAGGAGGTCTTGCATCAGCTGTTCAGGTTCAGGTTGGCTCGTGCCCTGCCACGCAAAGGGATTCGATTGCTTCTGGGGGGCTGTGCCCATGGGGTGCAACCAGACAGCCTGAACTTGGACCACCAGTTGGGAGGCTATTTGGAGACCAGAGACACCATCGTCTTCCTTTCTGGATGCCATGGCACTGGAGACATTGTTACTGTACAATAAAGTATTAATAATTAGAGTTGCCACTGGGATATAAATGGAACTGAAGGAAGGTTAAATGCAAATAGGGATTTCTGCAATGCTGGCCAAAAAGATAAGTAAATATCTCTTTGGCCTAAGTCGCTGTCCTTCTGACAGCTTTCAGGGAGGGCCTGGACATGATGAATATCCTCTCCTCAGGATAACAGCACATACTTCCACACGGCTTCTTCCAGCAGCGACTGCAGGGATGGCATGGGGAAGATGAGCCAGACCTCAGCATGCTCTTGGAAATGCGTGCTCAGGCCAGCTCTCTATTGTCTGACTGCACGATTCTGGCTGTTGGTTTAAAGTTTGGCTCAATGCACTGCCTGCCAGAATAAACAGAGTATTTTCAGAATGTTAAAAGGTCCGTTCTGTCTTTAAATATAAAAAGGAGATCCCAGCTCTTCCCCAAAGGTCTGTAAAGAGATGCTGGGATGGGAGGTCTTAGTCCTCTCCAGGAGCTTGCTGTGGTCCCTGACACTGTTTGCAGGCAGAGCAGCTGCTCCAGATGTGTGGAGAGCACAGCTCCAGAGCTAGCAGGGAAGCAGGGACTTGAAAACCAGCAGCACAAATACGTGATGCAAGCAGCAGAGCTGCAGCACAGCAGCCTGGCAGCCTCCACAGATCTTCTGGAAGGCAGCCCCAGGATTGGGGTTTGCTTTCTGCAGTGCTCTGTGCTGTAGCCAGACCCTCTGCAGCCAGGGGGAGGTGGTGTTGCCCTCCATTTCCAACCTGGAATGAGGAGAGGAGCTCAAGCATGGGCGCCCTTTTCAGCTGTGCCACCAACAAACTCATAAACAAGTCACATTGTGAAACCTCTGTACGATGAGGATGGATACTGCTGGCCTGCATTTCTTGCTGGAAAGCCTTTTGAGATCTTTGCAAAGCACTGTACAGGAGCATAAATGGCTTTAGGTGAGGTGCTGTAGGAAAATATCTATCTGCAGGTAATAACAGTTGTTCCTCCTGTATTGACCATCAATGGCCCATTTCTTTTATGTTGTCCTAGAAAAATGTTGGCTGAATGCAGGTGACTGATTCTCGGGCTGTGTGCAGTTCCTAGTGATGGATGTCCTGATATGTGGGTGGGTGATATTTGCAAAGGATGAGATATATTGTATATACCCATTACAACACTTCCTACCCTTCCTACCTTCCAAGAACTTGAGGGAGATGGTACTGCTGTGTGTCTTTGAGGGGAAGAGTTATATATGGAAAACATTTGGGTTGACTTAGTGTCCCGAAGAGAGAAGCTGCCAGAATAGAATAGACCTCAGCTGTATTTAATTTAAAATTTCTGTGATATACGTTCTACTTTTGATATCAAATCTCTGCCTCTTTCTTGCTGAACTGCTGCAAAGCCCTTGTTGCTTTACCCAGGAACAAGGTGACTCAGCTAAATGTCAAACACTGTCAAACTCTGTTAAATAAACTCGGTGCCATAATTAGAATACGCATGGCATTTCTGCAGCTGGAGCCGGGGATTACTGAAACGAATACCTAGCTATAAACTGTCTTAATTAAAAAACAGCAGGGCAGATGTTTGTACTTAAATCCTGGTTTTATGAATATGTTATGATATTGCTTGCTTATTATGGACCTGATTCAGCCAAGCTGGCGTGACTCTGTGTGCTGGGTTCTGAGTGCCTGGGGTTTGCCTGTCCCACTTGCAGGCTTGGGCAACCTTCCCCCATCAGGTCTGGCTTAGGGAGTCAACGTATGCCAGCCTGTGGCTCTCATGTGTCAGCAATGCTGTGGGACTCTCCTGAAATAAAGGCATGATCTGAGCCTGGGAATTGAGGAGCCGCCTTTGCAGGTCATTTTGCCGTGTCAGAGGGTGTGTACAGGCCTGACTGGCCCGTCACCCATAGCGTGGTGGAGCCACAGCAGCAGCCCATGCAGCGCTGCTCAGTAGGCAGAAGTGAGGGGTGGTGGTACCTGTATCTCCTGCTGCAGCGAAGGGCTGGAAAGGAAGAACTGAGGGATGGCTGCAGCACGTTGGGCCAAAGGGCCACCCAGCCCTGGCAGTGGCCAGTTGTGAGTCCTGAAGGAGAGTGCAAACTCCGCCTTTCTACACCCTGACTGTTTAGCAGTCACAGCAGGGGTTGGGGAATCCAGGATGTTGAGTCTTTTTCTGGTGTGGTGAAGGAGAAGAGAAGATACCTAAACCAAGAGATGAATGGCCTTTGGGACACCCTCCTGGTCTGTCTATGATCATCTGGATGGCAGAGAGGGCATGCAGAGGGTGTCACTGGGTGAAAGCAAACTCCCACATCTCCTTCCCACGGGGAAAGGGCTAATGTGTGCTCAGCTGTCACCCCAATAGGGTCAGGAGCACTGGTCAGCCCTGTATCTGGAACAAGAGGCTGGACAGTCCAGGTCCTGTTGCTTGGGCACAGTCATGCTATGTCTCAGCTTACCCCACACAAAGCAGGGATGGTGGTGCATGATCCTGATTTATGAGGAAAGCAAAAGATGCCTCGCTGCCCTTTTCAGCTCCCAGCTGTACATCTCTCTCCCTCCCACTGTCTGCACAGATTGCAAATTCCCTGGGTACTAGAAAGTGTTTTGCTGCAGTTTTCATCCCCATCTGGGTGCAGATGGCTATGGCTTTGCTGGCCTGCTGTGTGTTGGCTGTGATTTTTGCTTTACGCACAGATGATAGCCCCTTTGCACTCACCGCTGCTGGTTTGGGGTGATTGTGTAGCTGCACAGTACTGAGCAAGGTGCCTCCCTGTTGGGGCAATCAAGCTTCAGTATTTGACTGTGCTGGAAGCCTTTTACCTGTAAAAAAAAAAAAAAAAGGAAAGTGTGATAGAGTTCAGACCCTTTCTCTCCAAGGAGAGACCATACTGGGTTCAACAGCAGGAAAGTGCAGTTTTTCTTTCCTCTAGACACCTTCATCTTATTTTTATCAATTTCTTCATATATATTTTACCCCCACTTCCCTCTTACACAAGTGAGGACTCTACAGCTTTCAGTGCCATGAAGAGGAGCAAGGAAATAATAAGCAGTGTCAGGTAGTCCTGTAAAAGGTATTCTGTGGATAATTTTGTAGTTTTGTTTTACTTTTTAAGAGTCACTCTCCTGCCTTCAGTTTTTCTGTGAGGTTTTGGTTTGTTTTTTTTTTACTATGCCAAGAGGACAAAACTGATCTTTTTCCTCCCCTTTCCCTATTTTATCTCATTTCCATGAGTCTTCCCTTTCTTCTCCCTGATTCTCCTTTTTACTGTTGGAAAAGTCTGCATCAGGGGAGGTGGTGCAGAAGAAAATCATGTAAGAAACCCTTTTTGTGGGGTGGCCAGAGAGCATTTCTGTAGTTGGCAGTGTGAAATTTTTGTTTGCAAGGATGGAGGGAGACTGTGGAAGAGTCAGAATAAACTTGCTGCAAAACCCCCTTTCTAGACCAAAGATGGTTTGTCACTCTAAGAAGACAGATGAAAGGCACTCTTTGGCTGTTCCAGTGCAGCTGTTGGTTGAGCCCATTTGCAATGCACCAATTTCTCCATCACCCTTCATGCTGCATATCTGAAGAGCAATCTTTGGAGTGTGGACTCAAAGCTTTGCTCCCTCCCTGTCAGGTACTTTTATATCTGTATCAGCAGAGAGAAGAGGTTATGGATTTGGGCTCTTTATTTCAGGGATCTTGAGGTAATTAATGAAGGAACTGCAGCTGGAAAGAGAAGACTGGTCTGCTGAGCTTCTGAAGATCATGGTGGCAAATACAAATGGCAGAGATGGGGCGATGTAACTCTGGCATTAAGTTTTGCAGTGGTTGACCCAAGACTCCAGGGCTTGCATTGTTCTTCATTTCTCTTGGCACTAAGTGGAAGAGCCATCTGGACACGAAGCTGAAATTGGAGGGATGTCAACTCTTCTTTCTCCACCATGTCTTACAAAGCGCAGCCTTGGGAAAAAGGCACTGCACGGCACGAAATCATCCCATCATGCTGGCTACTGGGCTGCAGATCCCTGCTGTGGAGAGAGGCTTGGGCTTTCTGTGGCGCAGAGGGCCTGGCATTGATGATGGCAGCCCCTTGCACTTTCTACCCAGATTCCAGCTTGGTCCCTGACAGGACTTCAAACAAGGTTTGAGCCCCACTAAAAAAACAGGAGATTTTTGCATAGGCTGTGTTGGAAGTGGAAAATCCTCACACAGTGCCTGCTCTTGCAGCTTCCCTGCTGCCTGGAGAGGGAGACATCCCGCTCAAGGAGACTGCTTTGTTTGCCTGATTTTCCTTACTCTTCAGAAGCTGAGTCCCATCCCAAGGGGACCAGGGGGGTTGGTGCAGGCTGCCCTGCCAGCTTGGTCAGGCAGCTACAGAAACAACACCTCAGCCTGGCTTCAGTCACTGACTCCACTGCTTGGGAGACCCTGCCAGAGTGGCACCTTCTCTCTTCCTTTCTTTCCCACTTGGATATTTCTCCTTCCTTGATTAGGGCAAGAAAGGAGGAAACCATCCTTCTCAGGGCGCATGCTGCCAGCTGTGTCCTGGGGCGCTGGGAAGGATGACAGTGTTGTGGGAGAGATGTCACCAGCTGTTGTTTGGCCACTCTGTGCCCCCGATGACCTGCTTTCTCCCCAAGAAGAGAAGCGCCTCAGCAC